TAGGGAAATTGTTACAGGTATCAAGTGGTGGTTCTAGAATTGGTTTGTTGATGGAAGGAAGAAAGAGAAAGTTCTTACACTAATATGCTCTTATACTAATGGCATAACATTCACATGGAGACTACAGACCGGCCTGCTAGGCCATGAGTCTATGTTGTTCAGCTACATCTGACTGTTGCACAAAAATCATTCTTCAAGGGTTGTTCCCTAACGGAGAGCTGACTAAACTTCTTAAAACTTGCTACTCATGGTGGCACATGTGAAGGCAGTGAAGCTGTCGTGCTCTTGATTGATCTGTAGAATCAGTAAGTTTGGCCATCTTTCCATTTTCTAGGTTATTGGAGTGCAAGGAAAGCTTGGATAACATGGGAACTATGGAATGTATTTGACAGCGTAATACAAACATACCATATTGCTCTCCTCAGCAGCACTCTTGGATCCACTGGAGCTTTCTAGCTGTGCTATAGCCACTTAGATTTTTTTTTTCTGCCGTATTCACAAGTGCTCAGGCATGAGGGTTTGCTGCCCTCAGACTGGGGACTGCCCAGGACTGGAGCGTTGCTGGCTCTACAGGGAGATGGACTGGCTCTGCCATAGTTAAATTAATGAGCAGACTCCTTGACCCAGAGTCTTCAGCCGGATCACCTCGCTGTGGGTGGTTGCTGGTATTTACGTCACTGAGTTTCTTGGCAATGGATTTAAATGGAAATATCTTTTTCATTAGCAAAGATTTGTTTGGGTTTTTTTTTCCCTACCACAAGACTCTTAAAAAGAAAAGGGGCAGAACACAACACAAAAATTAATTGCAAACCTGTATCTGGACTATCAGCACCATATTTTCTGTCTGTTTGAGGGAGTGGATGGAATGAGGGAGTTGATAATGTTACATTCAGGTTTTTTCTTAGGATCAGGAACCAACAGAGATCACCTGTAGCCCATGAAATAATGATTTTTCTCTAGTTGAAGATAAACTTTTGATACTACTATTATTAAGAAAACAAGGTACATTTGACCAAACTTCTTGTGATTAAAATTGGGTTTTTTTATTTACTGGTTGGACCATGATGTCTGGCATCTGTATTTACCTTATCCCCTGTACAACAAAAAAAACCCTAGCTGTTTCCATTATTATTTCTGTTGGTGAACAAATACATTCATCTATGAAATGAAATTTTGTGTTGCTTAGTGTGTGACTGTTCTTATCCCATCTGATGAGAATGTTCCTATCTGCCAGGTGTTCTTTTACAAAGGAGAACTGCACATCATTCCGCTGTCAGAGGCTCACGAGCAGGTCTCTGCTGCTAGTCCAACAATCTCGCAGGCGTTAGCGCTGTTATCGGCCCGTTCAGCGGAGTTCCTGGCTGCAGAACCCATCAGAACAGCAGTGTATAAACGCATCAGTGGGTATGTGGGTGTTTTATTTTGGTCTTCTGCAACAGCAAGTTTTGATTCTGGACTGTCTGGGATGCTTGCTTGTATTTGGTCATTTTCCTGTTAGATGTGATAAAGTTGCTTTCTTTTCAGAAACCATCAGCTGCAAGTTTTTCTATGGCATTCTTCTAAAGAGGGGAACCAATTCACTGTAGGCTGTGTGTTGTCTGGGGGCTCAGAAAGTCATACACTGCTGTGATGCCACACCTGACAATGACAAGAGTTATTCTTCCTTCATATTCTTCTTGTACTGAAAAATCTGAAAGTTCTGTGAGCCTTTAGGAGCCCTTTGCAGGGCGAGAGAGAGGTTGCGAACTAAAATGTAGAGCCAGCATGCTTTTCAGAGCGTCAGCTTGTCACTGGTGTGTTCGGCACCGTACATTCTCTTTTGCAAGGATCTGACAGCATGAGCCAGATGAATTCTACACTCAGTCCAGTGAAGGATGCTGTATAGCTGGACACGTTAGTCAAGTTCACAGTGAGGCAATTCACCAATGCGGGGATTAAATTTTTATTAGCCTTTTATATATGCCTTTTTATTTATTAGCCTTGTATATACGTATACACATATATAAACAGACATTCCAGGTGTTGGATTAGCTGCATTTTAACTTTAGTTTAGAATAATCTTCTGGCACTTGGCCCATAATATAGATTAATACTAAAGTGAAAATGGGGATAATAATTAAAAAGGAGTGGTTTGGGCTTGCAATACTCTTACTACACAATGTTGCTATTGTATGTTGCAGGTATCCTGAGAAAATTCAGGCCTCGTTCCACCGAGCCCACTGCTACCTTCCAGCAGGTATTGTGGCAGTGCTGAGGCAGCGCCCTTCATTGGTGGCTGCAGCAGTCCAGGCCTTTTACCTGCGAGATCCTGTAGATTTACGAGCATGTCGCTCTTTTCAAACTTTCCCTCCAGACGAGCGTGTGATGACTGTAGTAAGTGATCCTTCTAATGCACCGTGTCACTTAATTACATTCTGTAACTTGACAGAGGTTCTGTGGTCAAGTGATCTAACTATGTGGATTTAATTTTTAAAATGGCATGTGTTCTGATTTTTTTTTTTCTTTTGACGCTAGACATGAATTTCCAGTTCATTATGTTAATAGCTTTTCTGCCTTCAGATTGACAGGGCTAAACTTTCAAATGGCTAATCATGATATAAGTGTTGCTGAAATCAGAGATTACTGCTAGTAGTCCTGCTGAAATGCTTGCTGAGTAAATTGATCTAATTCTGTGGTCAGAGCAGTTTGACAGCACTGCCAGCCAACATAAACAGTTGCTGCTCAATATGCCTTGCTGTTTGTTCCCAGGCTTTTCACCTTCTCAGCTGTACTTACGCAGCTCTGTGAAAGCTGTTTGAGCATTGTCCAAGCAGTGTTGTATCTGATATATTTGCATTACAGACTTATACCCCTAGACTCCTGAAAATAAGCCTTGGAGTCAAATTGTAGATGTGTAGATTGTTTTTGAAATCTCAGCTTTGGTTTTGTTAATTAAAAAGAGCCCTTAACATTTTTTTTCAAAATATACCCTGTTGACATGAATACTGAGGATTTTTTTTAATGTATTTAGTTTATTTACAGATGTCAGCTTGGAATACTCTGTAAGATCTGAAAAGCAACATATCTTAGGCAAATGTATCTAAGATATATTTTGAATTCTGTCTCGGGTATTGTCTGTAATATGGGTGTTCTAAAACAAAATTTAGAGGAGACTGGTGGCAAATTGGTGCCCATACACAACACAGTCACACTGCAATGAGTGTTTTTCTTTTGCTCTGGCTTTTTCAGGTTACTTTCACAAAGTGTTTGTATGCACAACTGGTGCAGCAGAAGTTTCTTCCGGACAGACGCAGTGGATACACACTACCCCTCCCATCTCACCCACAATACAAAGCCTATGAACTGGGCATGAAACTGGTAATTATTTTTTACGCATTTTGTACTCAGTCTTTAGTTTGCTTGTTTACGTGTGTCCAAGAAATGACTCTTTGCTTGTAAGTTGCCTGCTTGTAGAGAAAAATGTGAGCAAATTCGCAGTTACCATTTTTCTGGAAGTACAGTATCATGGGAGTTTTCTTTTACAGGATAGAGCACTCTTGTACTTCCATAGATTATGAATACAGGTAAAGTCTTCGTGCATATGTGAGGAGTAGCCTGTGCACTGTAGATCTGTCTTCTAGGTTGCTCTGCCCATGTAGACAAACTTCGCAAAGTCAGAACGATTCAGTATTGTTGTAGCAAGACAGATTCCACCTTCCAAAGCAAGATGCTGCTACCTTATGCATAATTGGGTTTGGCACCTTCCCAAATGGCAGCATCGGGAGCTTGATGATAGTGAGTTATTTGTGCAGTTGTCTAAAGGTGCACTTAAATTTGTCACATCTGGAGAAACTCTTGTTGTTGCATCTCTTGTACAGGCTCATGGCTTTGAAATTTTGTGCTCCAAGTGCAGTGAAGTATCTCCTGATTCCAAGAGAAATGTGTTACGCAGTCCCCTGTGGGAGAGATTCCTCAGCAGCCTGAAGGAAAAGCATTATTTTAAGGTGACGTTGTGTGTGTCTTTTAAACATTCCAGGAAAAACATGTTTTATCTCTTGAACTTGTGTAAGTAATTACAGCAGGGCAAGAAATCTAATGCTTCTGCCTATAGGAAATCAATTAATGTCTTTAAAGGAGGCATGTGCAGTTTATTCTGCTTTGAAATTAGTTAATTTCTTTGGGGAATTAAAAAGGAAAAAGCGGGATTTGGGGATAAATTTATTCATCTAAAGAAAGGGTAAATACACTTGAATAAAGGATGGACAACAACAATATGGTTGTATGTCGGTATAACTTTTTTCACTGTTTCACATTTCATTTACATGCCTCTAGAATTAAATATTCTTAAAGATCTATACTGAACATCCATGGACCCATCTGGGCCCTTGTAAGTGTATGTTTTGTTTGTGTGGGTTTTGGGTTTTGGTTGTTTTTTAATGATGCCTTTGACTACTTATTTGAACGTTATAAAGTTGGGCAACTCTATCAAAATGCTGAAGTTAAAATAGGAAGAGGGGAATATTTTCACAGTACTGCAATGCCACTTCTGTGGGTAATTCCCAAACACCAAGAGATTTATTCAAAATTCCTGTACAGTTCTAACCTGGGCACAGTAAATCCACCCTGTTGTGGGAATCGTAGTATTGTCTTTGATTGTTTTTAGTGTACACCGTATGATATTGCAGCATAAGTCTTTAATTCGTACCTAACTGTGAAAGCACCTTATGCCCATTCACTGTGCTCTGTTCCAAGTATATACTGCAAGTCAGTATTACTTGTTTAGATTTTCTCAGCATTAAATTTGTGTGACATTTAGTCATTGTTATGCAGCCTGACTGTGAAAAGGGAGGAGAGGGAGAATTGTTTAGATTCATATTTGTGACTTGTATTAAATAGGGAGAAATGGAGGGATCTGCTAAGTATATGGAACTGTTGCATATGGCAGAAGATTACTTCGAGCAATCTGTTGCCAAGCCAGAAAGGTAAGAACTACTTGAAATTCAGGAGTAAACATACACAGTGTGTACCTACAAGTCTGTAAGCTTTTTTAACACTTTTTACAAAAAACGTGAACCCTTTTATCCATTATACACTTAACAAGGTGCTGTGGCTCGGTCATACAGACATTAATTCATAGAGAACCACAGAATGGTTTGGGTTGGAAGGGACCTTCAAGATCTTCTAGTTCCAACCCCCTTCCACTAGACCACATTGCTCAGAGCCCCATCCAACCTGGGCTTGAACACTGCCAGGGAGGAGGCAGCCACAGCTTCTCTGGGCAACCTGTGCCAGTGCCTCACCACCCTCATCGTAAAGACTTTCTTCCTTGTATCTAATCTAAACCTACCGTCTTTCAGTTTAAGGCTGTTGCCCCTTGTCCTATCCCTACGTGCCCTTGTAAAAAGTCCCTCTCTAGTTCCTCTAGAATACTCTCTACTAGTAGAAGTTATTGCTTGAGTAACTATTTAGATTGGTTTTGTAAAATGCTAAGCTATTCCAAGTGGGTTAAGAGGTGACTGAAAAGCATCATTTGGTTTGTTGGCTATAGAAAGTGTTTAAAAGTTTCATTGAAAAGCAATCCCAGTGAATAATAAATATGGAGTAATCTGTCTCCTTTACTCAAGACAGGCAGCTGGCTGTAGCTTTCTCCAAAAGATCAAATCCAAAAAATAAGTCATTACAAAAATATCTGAGGGTTTGCCAGCTCGTAATATCTTGGCTATTAGTTGCTTGAAGTTCCAGTCTGTGCTGTTTGGGATCTGGCAATCCTAATACCAAGACAAAAATACAGAGAACAAAGGAAACATGAGAAATGCGCTTTGGAGCCATCAACAAGGAATTGCAGTAATTGACTAGGTCTTGTTTTGGCAAGTACTATCTGTGTAGTATTTTGGTACTTCCCTAGATTTCACTTGTCTTTTTGACATATTTGTACAGAAGAAATAATGAGGAATTTGAGTGAAAACCTGCATGTAGAGTGTGTGATGCCGTTGACATTGTAATGCTAGTGAAAGTCCATCTCAGTAAATTGATTTTTTTTTTTTTTTTCTTCTAGCTCTGTTGAATTGAGCCCAGGTGATGAAATCTTGACATTGCTACAGACAACCACCATTGATTTGAAGGAATTTGAGAGAGAAGCAGCTTGTCTTCCTCCAGAGGATGGTGAGCTGGCTGAGGGAGTGGACTCTTCCTATCACAAATGATTATTTGTGGGGGGAGATGGTGAATGTTCACAGCACTGTACCAGTCTCTCTGTCTACTTAGTTTGTCTCCTATCCTGTGACTGCTAGAGATGTTATTCATGAGTCGTCACTTAAGATTGAGGCAACCAGTTAATTTGTATAAGCCAGAAAGCTTGGGGCTGTAAACTGGCAAGATACGCAGTCCGGTTTCTGGTTTGATGCCGCTAGATCAGGAACACCATTCACACTTACACCAGATCAAGTACTTTGTGTCAACTGTCTACCAAACAAAGTATTTAAACATTTTATAATAATAAATCAATTCCAGTACTGACCATACAAAGTTAATTACTATCTGATCTACTCTGATGGCCAATATAAGACCAGCATTACGTTTATGTAATAGGGGTTTTTTCCACTTGTTTGACAGAAATGTAGTTGTTGCCAGTGTGCAGTACAGGTCACGTCTGTATTTCTGAATGATGCAATAGCACAGAAATCCAACATTCAGTATTAATGATCACAGCTGAAGATTGGATTGGCTCTCCCGTTATAGTGTAAGCTTTTTCTTCCTTCATTTAGTGGCAGAAGAATTGTCGGTGACTAGAACAATACCTGCTGGTTTGAGGCTGCACATAAAGTGAAGTTTTAAAGTACTGAAATGATACCTGAACTCTTCTTCTCAGTCTCTCACTGCCTTATACCCCGTGTTATCTAGTATGAGCATGAAAACTTAATAGTGCAAAAATAAGCTACAAAATGCTAGCAGTACTCTCAACTGTCTGGATTGGGCCTTGTGGGCTAACAGATGTGCAGAATAACAAGTATGTCCTATACTTTTTCAGATGACAGTTGGCTGGAGATTACACCAGATGATCTAGATCAGATGCTGAAGGAGGCAAGAAGTGAGTCCCTTCCTGCCTCAGATGAGGAAGAGCAGAAATATGACTTGGAAGCAGTTGCTGAAAGTGTGAAGGCTTTTGTATCCAAAGTCTCAACGCATGAAGGAGCAGAAATGCCATGGTAGTAGTATTTTTAAGTTTGGCGTCTGGTGTAGAATGTGTTTTCATTCTGCTGCAGCCCCTTGGTTGATTCTGTATGCAGAGAATCAAAGTTTGGAAGTGTTCTACTTCACAGAGGCCTGAAACTAACCCATGTTAGTAGCGAATATGTAGTTGCTTTTAAACCAACTTCATGATCACTCTGACAATGGTGCAGATAAAAATGCTGGACGTTGTGCTGTTTTCCAGCACTCTTACTTAGTTTGGTTGTGGTGTTTAAATTTTTTTTTTAACCCTTTTGAGTTGAAGGCTTACTGTTGTTTGTTACCGTAGTTCTTAGCACTATTATTAAAACATACATCTCAAGTTCATTTGTGCTGAAATTTTTCTACCATGAAGGACAAACTATTCAGACCGCTAAGATGCTTCTGATGAGGCTGTGCAGAAATGAAAATGAAACTTAAGTTGAGGGAATCTGTTGCTGTGAATGAAAACTGTTGATTTTTGTGGTACAGCTCTATTAAGATTTCCTGTAGATTAGTATTTGGAGTATACTGGGCCTGGTTTTGCACTACTGAAGCACATACTGTACACCTAGAAGCAGGAGAAAATAATCACTGTGGATCCCTGTCATTGTTCCCAACAGTGGAAGATAACTGCTAACTGAAAATACTTAACTATTTAGACAACAGCAGAATGCCACTAGATGAACTGTTGTACTTGGGAAAGTGTGTGTGACTGTCGTGGGGCCAGGTCTTCATTTTGAAAACAGTGTTACATAGTAGCATATCGTCCAGGTTCTTTCTCATAGCCTTAATATTGAGAAAATAATGCTATGTAAGCTATATCAAGTGTATAAGGGTCTACTCAATTTATGTTCTTAACTGTTTGATGCTTTGTAATTAGTGTTAGTGTCAGTGTCTGAGTTATAATGTAGATTTTTTCAGTTACTTAAAATAACAGAAAAAACAACAAAAATAAGGCAAACCACTGAGCCTTACGAGAGACCAGAATGAAACCTTTAGTGTTCTTCCTAGGCAGGAGACCTCAGAGATTCTTAGCTTTCTAAATCTTTGTCTGAGGCATACCACCGCCGCTTTGTTCCAGAATGATTCAGACATGCTTATTTTGGTTGCCTTCAGTACAATTTTTGTTTGAGCATGACAAACAATTGAAGTTGTTGGTTTTCTTTTCTCCTTCGTGCCAGGAGCTCTTCCACTTGCTGTCTCATTTCTAGTTCATACAGGCCTCAGGCTTTTAAGTGCTTCCAAGACCATCAGTTCAAATGTCCCAACTTTAATCTAGGCTTGAGAGAAATCAGTATGCCATATGGTTTATACCTGTGTCAGGCTTATGCAAGCATAAAAGCTTTATTTATTTAATAATGTTTTTATATTTCAGGTCACCTGATGAATCCCCTGTTACCTTTGATGTAGATTCTTTTACAAAAGCGTTAGACAGAATTTTAGGTGAGATTGCTTCTTTGTTTCTTTTGTCAGAATATCTCATGGTTATTTGGCTTCCCTGGGTTTTCTGATCACCCATGGGCATTGTGCTGATTTGTTTGCTTTCTGTACTGACAAAAAATAATACATAGGGGCAGACTCGGAAGAGCTGGATTCTGATGATTTGGATGAAGAGGAGGAGTTTGATTTCTCAGATGAGGATGATGATGACTTAGATGCCGAAAATCAAAGGCAAGATCAGAAGCTATCGCCTAATGAGCTTATAGGCAGTCTCAAGTCCTATATGAATGAGATGGACCGTGAACTGGCACATACCAATGTTGGTAAAAGTTTCACCACCCAAAAGAAAGGGGTAAGTATGACTTCAGTTGTAGTTTGTAGCATAATAGTTTTGAGAGCTTTAGTAGGAAAGAGGAAATAGGCTAAAAATGGTCATTCTGAGTAACATGATCAAAAACTTCTGCCTTCTGATCATGTGCTAACTAGTTATTAAAAAAAAGAAAAATCCCACCTGCAAGCAAAATGTGCTGCAGTTGCACCATGGTATATTTTTTTGGAAAAAAAACCCAAACACCTTAGCTCAGCTTTAACTTTCGCATCATTTCCAAGACTTGGTTTCATTTCCCTGTTTTAGTAGCAAGGCAGGCATCTGCAGCTTGACTTCTTGAGGCCCTGTAGCAGATTACTCCCATAGGAAACTGGGCCAGGACTCAGCAACCCTCTCTGTCCTTCTCTTGGAACTTAATCTGTGTAATGGAAAGTGATGATTTTTAACTGGTGTGAGCATTTGGTAACGAAAGCCAAGACAGTGTGGAACGTACTGAATTTTGGCTGCAGAACTGTTTCCTTGTTTCTTTTCTCTTGTGGTTTGTCTTTTTTTTGCTTTTAAACCCGTTGATACAATTTGATAAAACTTTCTCTTTATACTTCCTATAGGCAAGTTCTGTTAATGCAAATACGTCTCAAAATGCTGGCCCTAATTCTGGAGCTGAAGATACTGAGCTAACACCAGTTGATGTGGATATGAACCTAGTAGCTAACCTGCTTGAATCCTATAGTGCTCAGTCTGGACTGGCAGGACCCACCTCTAACATTTTACAGAGCATGGGAGTGTATTTACCTGAAAATGCAGATCATATTGGCTCTAATAAGGGAGCAACAGAATAAAGGACTGTCTTAATTCGGAAGACATGGTTGATTAAGAAATGAAGCACAGAAAGGCCAGCAGTATTTGGAAGAAGAGACATAAGGTTTGAATTTAAAGCATTTTATGCATTAGTTATGTGCTACTTTAAAGATGCAAAGTGAATTTACCTGCAAAAGCTGTCTATTTGGGTACTGTCTTGGATACAAATTGGATTTTTCCAGTGCTAACATGTTTTCAGAAAACTGAAAAGTGATGTTGTGACATGAAAAGTTCTGTTATAAAACCTCTCTTCAATTTTTGAAATTGATCCAATTTGCCGTATTTCTAAAATGTCCTTTTACCCTTTACTGAGTGGTTTCAATATCTGGAAAGCAGTTCATGTTCTGACAATGCTCTTGCCTTCAGGGGGAGATGGAGGAATACCATATTGCAGGAACAGTGTTCTCTTGTGGGTTTGGGAACACTAGTTAAATATTCAGGAGACACTTAATCACTCTTCCAAAAGTACAGTGCTTCATTGTAAGAACTTCTGATAATTATTGTAAAAATCTGTCCTTTATTAACCAGAAGGATTTGAAGAGTAATTGGATTGAACATGTAAATATTGGATATAAGTATTTTTTGAATTTATTTAAATAAAAGCAGAAATACAGCTTGATTACTGGAGATGTGGGTTTTTTTCTCTGAAGGCAGGCATAAGTTCTTCAGTGCAATATCAGAAGTTCTTGGAGTTAAAGCATTTTCATAATTGGGCATTTTTTTAATTCCACTATTGCTGAATGTTGGTATCGTGCCAGCGGTAGCAGTATATGAGCCCAGTCTGAAGAGTTTAGTTTTGTTTTTCATTGAAATTGTAGCTAGAAGGCCTTCAGCGTGTTGCTTTCAGATGGAATGAAAAATCTATTCTAGATATGAAGACTTAGTTTTAACAAGATACATTTGAAATAAAATACATAGAAATTCTTGATATACAGAGAGCAAAAACGCAGTCCTGCCAGATCTGAGTCGGCTTCTGTGAGTCTTTATTTCTTCTTCCACACAACAATTAGTCATGTCTTAACTGGTAGAAGAGAAGCTCATAGTTTGAGTTTTCGGATTTTGTTTGGGTTTTTTTTAAAACATACTCAGAAAAATAGTGTTCAATGATGCAAAAGCCTGATTGATCCTGAAGGCATACTTAATTGCTTTTAAAGGACTGCATCATCATCTTTATTATTATTGATGTTATTATTAGTCTTAAGGTTTGGAATCCATTTAGTTGAAGTCTTTGTTTTAATTTTTTTGCATGTTAAGTGTTGGCATTATTTTAACTGGCAAAGCAGAATGTAGCAAAAGTTGTTTCCAGGTAGGACTCGGACGCTTGTTGGATGATGACTTGCAGTATCTGACTGCCATGCCAACTGAGTTTGACCAATGCACAGAAAACTATTTGAAAGTCACACATTTGGCATAGTTTCATTGAAATTCGTGAGACCTTGACAACATACAAGGAATGCTTACTTGCTAACTTCCGTATGATCTATGCTTGTGATTTGTTTGGGTGGGGTTTTTTTCCAAATTTTTGTTTGTTTTTGCAAATGACAAATAGCTAGTAAAATGCTCCTGTACAATATCCTAAGTATTGGGGATTCTGTATGTGCATGCGTGGAATGAATGTGGATGAAAGGTATGATGGCTATGTCAATGTTGTGTAAGTTACTTTCTCAGCAGTTTAGGGACAGTACTGGCAAGTTGGGCAGGGATTAGAGATGCACCACAAGAACTGGAAGTATAAAGATGCCGCTGAATTTCGAGAAGTTTGGACTGCAGAGAGGTGAGGTGGAATGGGGTTGAGTTAGACACATCTGCACTGGAAAAATTGGGGTAACGAGTTCTTGAATCTAGCAGACAAGTATAACCAGCAGTTAGTGGTGGAAAATAGATGTACTTGAACCTTAAAAAGGATTTGTGTTTTAACAGGGAAGGTAATTAACACTGAAGCTACATAAAATTCTCCACTGATGAGTAGTTAGATCAAGTTTAGATACTTCAAAAAAAAATTCAGTTTCAAGAACATGATCACATTTAAACTCTCATGTGGCCTGTACTATATAAAAGGTCAAAATAGATCAAAGGGCTCTTGTAATATAGTATGTGAAGAAGACTTCTAAGCTAATGTTCAGAACAAAGCTGCTCTTTTGGAAGGACTTCAGCTGATCTTGCTTCTAGGATAATCTTACTTTTCCGTCAATTGGACTGTTATTTCTGTGGGGCTGTACTTATTCCAACTATTTACATTTGTTTAGCAGCTTCACAGTGGAGACCTTCAGGACTCTGGAATTGCTCACAAGAGAATTTGCCATCGAAGAATAAGCATTTCCATGCTGCCTCTCCCACTGCTTTGAAGTAACATATGAGGAGTTTCTGGTTTTAATTTTGAAAGAGTATTTTTAGTAAAGGAAGCCCGATAGAATTAAATAGGGAAGAGAAGTGCAGTATCTTCCATTATGTTCTAAATTAGTTTAACTAGAACTGCATTCCAACACAATTACTCGCTTTGCTCACTTGAGCATCTGCCTTTTGTACAGCCTTGATCATCCTGTCCTGAACTTCTGCCCCTTCCCAGAAATGTAGTGTTCTTGTTTGTGGCTTGACCCCTGTAGATCTGAATGGCATAGTTGTTGACTAGCATGTTTCAAGCAAGAAAACAAATAATGGATCTTTCATCTTCCATGTATGAGATTGAAACTAATCCCAGGGGACAGCAGAGGCCTTTAACTTGTTAAAACTCTTCTAAACATGTGGGCAGTTTGGCTGTTGCCGCTCTTTCCCCATGCCAGCTTTATGGAATAGCAAGGAGCCTAAGAAAGAGAGTCTTTATTTGCTCTGTTAATGGAGGGCGTGCAGTTCTTCTCAGAAGTTGGGAGCCCACAGGGTAGCAGTGCTTTCAGCCGGAATCTAACTCCTGTCTGGTCAGTGGGGAGGAGGTGTGGCTCAGGAGGAATGGTATTTAACTACAGCTAGCTGTGTTCAAGTGCAGTTTGGGGTCAGTGATACAACCTGCTGTTTGAGGTCCCTGTGTTTACATCGATCTCCTGCAAATAAACTGTTTTTAGCATCCTTCCTGTGTAAGTGGATGTCAGCCTCCTCTGTTGCCATGAAAGATCACCTCCCTGCATGACATTTACCTCCTGCCTTTCCTTTCTAACACTGCAGTGTAGGAGTCACAGTTATCTCCAGGGCATATGTTAGTTGCAGTGGTGGAAAAGCGTTTTTTATGAATGTTTGCACAGCTTCTGCTGTAGCTACTTATGTGACTTTCATATGAGAAGCTGGATGTTGTTTTTAATAGCAGCAGGAGCCAGGGCAGGCCCTTTGTACCACCTCAGGATCCCTTGGGATGCTGTGAAAGCTGCAGCAACAGCTGCCCTCCCACTTGCCATTTACGTGTTTGGAATGGAACACAAGAGCATCTGTTCTGGCAGGTCTGAGATGGAAATTTATTTCTTTTTCCAACTTTGTTTATTCTGCTAAGAAAATATCACCATGGAGGGCACTTGGGGTTCACAGCAGAATACAGAGCTATTAAAAAAAGAAGTGGGTTGCTCAAGAATATGTAAAGTCAGGGATGTGAAGCCTAGACATCACCTTAGTTGATGTGCATCAAGTGTGTTCCTCAGCCACCAGCGGAGGAACCTGATTACCACCTCATGAGGATGGAGAAGGTCTACTACAGATTCCAAGTGCCAATAGTGGATAATTAATTCAACAGCAAAACTGTGCTTTCAGGGCAAATAACTGAGATTGCTGTTGTGGTCATGATTCAGTTTATCTTGTGTTTGAATTCTCACAGTAACATACATAATGACCTGTCCTGTTGAAATAGGACAGAACAGCAGGCAGGTTTAGGAATATGTGCTGGCTATGCTTCCAGCCTAGGAAACTGTCTTGTGGAGTGCAGTGACATGGAAAGCGGTGTCATGAACAGCTCACAGGTTTCTGGTGTGAAATGGTAGCTAATAATTGGAGTAATTAACGGAGGCAGAAGAATATCACGTTTTGTGTTACTCTTGTGTAAAGTGTGGATTGCTGTTTGGAATAGAGCCTATACTTAAGTGGGTCAACACTCTCAGGTGGATATTCACAATTTTGCAAGCATGCAAGGATGGGCAGTGAAGAGCAAAGCTACTGTGAAGGTAAAGCTCAGTTTATTCAGAAAAAAATATGTATGTGACTTGACTACTGTTGCAGGTAGGGGGCAGAAAATGAGGTATTTCCAGTAGACTGTAATTTGAGGGGAAAAAGGAGTAATAATATCCAATGACTGCAGTGATTTTCATCTAAATTAGTTCAGACTCTTTTTTTTAATTGGTGAGGGCCATTAACCTTACCTGCAGTTATAAGGCCATACAGTTACAGTGCTGGAATATAATCTAGTTTATCTAGGCATTCTCCATGCTGCATACTGACCACAGCCACATTTAACTATCGTATTTCCTCAGATCATTACTATGTACCCCTTGTGACTGTAGACGTATTTTCTTTCACTAATAAAAACTTCCCAGGTTTTTGTTGCAAAGACTGATCACAGTTACTGAATTTTGTGCAGTATCTATTTGCTTTTGCTGTGTTGCTGTTAAATTAATCAACAATGTTTCATAGGTGAAGCTGCATAGCTGCGTTTGTCTTAGTCCAACACACATTTATTTAGTACCCTGACTGCAGTCTCCAGCTTAGTGTCAAGTTAAGAATTTTCAGCTTCCCATTCCTTGAAAGATCTCGTTGAGATTCTCAGACTTATTAATCAAAATGATGTGTGAATTTGTTTCTGTCCCTACCCAAACCTCATCTTTCTTATTTTTCTGCTTCTATTAATATACTAGTAAATCTTTTGGATGCCTTTGCAACATTTCTACTAATAGAAACAGGGCTGCCTTTGCACTTTCTGCCATTAGAACAACCTTACTGTGTATCACTATTTTCTGCCAATCACTTCAAATCTTATCGAAAAATCTCTTTCTTGCCTTGCCTCCTAACTTCT